GCCGCAATGCGGAATGACAAGATATCGATTTTGTTTCCGGAAGGGTTGGGTGCTCAATAGCCTGCCTCGTGTTTGAAGTTCCCAAAAAGGGACAGGAAACCGCAAGGTGGTGGGCACTCAATAAGTTCCACTGTCTCCGGATTTGCAATTGAAGAGGAGCTTTACCGAGGCTGCACCTGTACTCCCTGCACAAGCGCTTGGGGCGTGGAGCCAAAGATTCGACCGATTCCGGAAACTGAAGTAACAGCAGCCTCAACTGGGTATGCCTCTTTCTGGAAAAGGGGCAGGTTGAATACGCATGCGTTGCGAAGTATACACAGTACATTGCATACATGACATTACATTGTATGCATTGGATTGCATTGCATTACATGGATGTATGTGTACATCAAAATTTCCTTTGCGTACAGCCGGGTTACCTTTCCCAAGAATGCATGGTTCCAGCTGTAGACCAACCAACGCAATCGGGAAGCGTTCACAGGGGCCCAGTCCAGGAAAGCATGTTGCAAGGGCCTTGGGCACAAGCTGCAGTGGGCTGCCAACTCAAAGATGCAGTCAAACCATTATTTTGGATACTTTTCTTGAAGGGTCACTGTTAGCAGACCCACCACTCGGATACTTGGTCCACTTTTCCTCGCATCCACCGCACCTTCTCGCCGCCGTCAGCCCTTGCGGCTTATCCCAAGGCCGCGCACGGACGCCCGCAAGGGCCGAGACTACTCTTTGTACTATCAGGCCGCATTGAGCAAGTCTCGGGGAATGGCTGTGTTTTGTTCAACCACGAAATGGTTGCTCCAAAACCTAAAAGCACAAGAGGGTGGTTGATTGTCTTTATTGACCGCTTCCCTCAATCAGTCAAGGTAGGGGGTGACCCAGGACTCAGTCAGCCGGTTTACTTGTAAGGTACAGTAGTTGTTGTCCCTAAAAGGAGGTCGTTGATTTTCTCTAGGGGGGGTGGGGGGTTATTGGGCCAGCTGACCATTAGTTGTATTGCTGAGATGGTGATTCCAGCAACAGGGTGGAGGTCTGGTAGGCACGCACAAGCAGACCCCCCCATAATTTTCGGACGCCTCTCCACATTGCGCGAATGACTGTTACGGCAGAACGACTGCCGTTCGTTTCAGGTTGGCCTTTCGGCGCAACATGCTGACACAGAAGACACTCTTTGCTCCTACGATCCTTTTGGGGGCTGTGGGGCTCATCACTGGATATCGCTTTTTGAGGCAGTAGCCACATTGGCCGCCACAACCCCCCCCCCCCCCCGAAAGATTCACCTACCAGCCTCAGGTTCAAAGAGCCTTGCCCAGGGGTCTGCCAGCTTCTGCTCTTTTTCCGCATATTCCATTCAAGACCTTTCCCACGTGCTTTGTTTCTTCCCTGAATGGAAGTTCCCCATACATGTTTGCAGTCTCGCGACGCCAGTTTCGGATCCTCCCCTCAGAGGTTGGACCAGATTCGCACGGATCGGCATGCGAGACTCTGGCTCCTTGCAAAAACAAGGCTTCGGAAGTTAAAGGCTTCGACCGTAGCGAGGGGATTGATCTACACACAGAGGTGCTTCTGGGGGTTCCAGGAGCCAAACACTCCACATAGAATATAAATGAATATAATGAATATATGTACATATACGTATTTATTATTGGTTTGCTGTTTGTCGTTTTGTTATTTTGTTCATAGATTCCAGCACACTTTGGCCGCCAGTCCGCTAGCTTCGGCCTCTCAGGTTGTCTCGCCGGAAAGTGGGCTCGGGCGCGCAGGCCTTGAACAACACGCTGAACCACGACACCGAGCTGAGCCTTCGAGCAGCCAGGGGCCGAGCGCCGAGCGAGAGACGCGTCTCGGGACGCCGAAGCAAACGCGCTTTTTTTGTGCTGGGACCCGAAGCGTTTTGGATGGGTGTGGCTCAACATTTGAGAAACGAGGGTTACGCAGGTGTTAGTCTTTGGTTCCATTTGCCAGCATATTTTCGAGCCACCGCCAAACTGAGTCGGTTTGACTCGGGCATGTAAAAGTAGGCTTGGCAAAAATGAAACGAGTTCAGCTGGGCAACAACAGTGGGCGAAACTGTAGGGGGCGGCTGGGAATGGTCCACATGTGGCAGCTTGAATGTTTCGCGTGTGTCGCATCTGTTTTTGTTTTGTTTAAGCAATTGTTCAATGTCCCGGGTCTTGAGGCACGGCTTGGCCATTCAGACCACGTGTTTGTAGATTGTTTTCTTTCAATGCAATGATTTTGCGAGCATCCCAGGACCGACATTGGGGTGGCACTTTGACAAATGGTCCATTGGCGGGAGGACAACATGCGCGCCGTTTCTATGTTCTATGCGAGCTGAAGAGAGGAGTAGGTGGATGAATGATTCAAAATGAGAACAGCTTGGCAGAGGCTCAAAGTAGCACGCAGTGCTGTTTGCCAATGACCGCAGCATGGGCTTACATGTAACAGTCAAAGAGGAGTATCGAGCATGATTCCCATCTAGAGATGTCTTGACCATTCCCCACGAAAGGAGTTTGAGTATGTCATGGCACATATCACATTTACATCATGAAGCCAAAACGTGCTCAAGTGCGCCGACAAAACAGACCTGGGTAATTGAAGGGAAGTACGGGGCGCCAATCAGAAATGCCAGTGGCTACCCTTTGTCATGGTTTTGATTCTTGATGCCTTCTTTTCCTCGGCGAGTTCCCTGCATCCCCATCCGCCATGGAATTGGAGGGTGACTCCTTGGACCCGGGAGTTCCTGCTAGCCTCATGGTTCCCTTTTTCGGGGAAGACGAGACACCTGGAATTCCAGGTGCCGGTTTGGTCCCCTCCCCCTCTCCCTCAGCAGGGGTTAGCAGGGGTGCGCCGCTTTGCGCCAGGCTCTTCCCCTGATTCGTCGCATGACTTACCTCCTGCTGTACGACGAGAAGACAGGATCGATCCGCGAGGGTCAAGACTCGCAGCCACAAACGCCGGCTTTTTCCCACCAGGCCAAGAGACAACTACGACTACAGGTGGACAACCCTTCTTTTTCTCTTTTTCGGGGGTGAGGGGGTGATGAACAGGTCCACGTTGGTTGTGATAAATAAGACCCTGATGAATGGGTACCGAAGATTGAACTCCCGAGAATCCGGGATGAGCTTACCATAAAACGCCCCTTGATTCGGAGGGGCATCTCAGGGCCGGAATGAGCCCTTTGGGTACATAGATATAGTTGGCCTCGTTTTTAGGCTCACCTGTTTGTGCAAAAAGGGCATGCCTTGGTTTGGACCTTTTTGTGACCTTGGGAAGCTACAGAGCAACATGGGAACCTTTCTGTTTGAACCACCCTCACGTGGGGTGAAGCGAGCTCACCTAATATTAAAGTTGGTCGGGGTGTTCAAATCAGGGCTGAATGTGTCGTCGAGAAGCAGCCTATGTGATATTGAGACTACAACTGTGAACATGGCCCATGGCAATATTCCAAGCCAGCCCAGCAAGCCAACCAGTCGAATCGGACTCGCGTCCGACACAGGCAGCAATATCAAGAGCTTGCTGCCAAGAACTCCATGCCACCAGGTCCACAGCCCCTGCTCGGACCAGGAGAGGAGCGGCGGCACAGCGGGGGTACTGTGTGGAAGGGCGACTCCGAGCGCCCGGCGCCGGTGCTCAGATCTGCGATTTCCGGCGGTGTGGATGTTTTCTTTTATTGGGGGGTACAGCGTTTACCCCCGAATTGGTGATTTGGATTGGTGGTTTGGGGATTTGAACCCTGGTCCTTGCAGAGTATAGATGGGAACCCCCTCCTTAACCACCAATTTACCAATCCAAACCACCAACTAAGCGGAAGCCGAGTTTTTATAGTTTTGAAGGGAAGCCAAAAGGAAACCCGCCATTTTGCGGGTGCCCAAAAGATGCACCCAGATGCTTTCCTAGTTTCAGCTGCACTTGGTTGCGAGGGGGCTGTAAAGGGGAATGCATACGTTGAGAAAGCTGTTTTTGTAGCATCAAAAGTGAAGGTGTTTGCAGCGCTGCTCCTGTCAACGATGCAGTTTGCCGCTTCCAACTGAGTGCCTTGCAGTGAGAACGCTCAAACTTTTTGGGGTATTTTGTGTTTTTTGAACATCCAATAAAACAACGCTGCGCAATGATCTGCTCAATGATCTGCACAAGTGTAACAAACTCACCTAGGACCTTGCGTGACTGCTATTCGGATCTTCAGCATTTAACTGTTTGGTGCATGCTTTTGTGTTTACCACTAACCAGCAAGCCTGCAGGCAATACCAGAAGGAGAGAAGCAAGATCTATAGTGCCCGCAACCGAAGCGAAAGATGAGATTTGTTACACACACACACACACAAGGTTGTATTCACCTCATGTGTTTCGCCAACCCTTACCATTCCTTGTGTTTGTTGGTAATTTTAGCGGATTTTGAAGGGCGTTCAACAGACTTACTCCTGTGAATGGACAAAATCCTGCACCAGTCACAAGTTGATAGAACGTTTATCCCAGTAGAGAGCCAGGGAAAGCGTTCTGAGCCACGGAGAGCAAGTAATTACGACTCAACGACTGTATGGGCTGCAGAAAGCGATGTGATTCGCCGCCTGGACCGCAGCCACTGGAATTGACACCAGCCATGCTGTTAGAGCCACCCACTTTTGCGATCTCCTTTGAAACGGTTTCACATGTACAGAGGCGGGAATGAAACATACTGCTTTGGATTTGGGGCAAAAGCTGAGGACGACGGACCAAGAACCAACCAACCTGCCAGTTCCTTTGGCAGCATGTCCGATGCAAGGCGTTTTCGACGGTTTCCTTTTGTTCTCCATTCGAAAAGTTTGGACCTTGCAGTGCGTTCTTAAGGCAAAATGGCTCTACGACCCCTCAAATGCAGGTGTCTTTTTCTGTCCACTACACATCCGAATGGATGAACTCATGCTGAGATTCTGGCATTGTGCACGCATTAGATAGAGCACGCTCACATCTGTGAAAAAGCGGGATTCCATGGTGGGGGGGGGACCTTCCGCGCTTTGGGCCCCGCGATGGATCTCGGACACACCTTGGAGGACCTCGAAAAGCTCGGCGCGCCCCGGCTTAATGATTTTGTTGTAGTTTGTGAACTGCAGCAATTTCAGAAGTGTTTTCACTCCACCCTGGAAAACTTGAAGATGATTGGAGGGTCACGCTGGCCTCAAGGGAAAATGTCCCTACATTGCCCAACAGAGGAGTAATATGCCTTTATATTACGGTTTGTGTTACCTTTGGAGGGTTGTACCGGCCTTTGAACAATCACCGCGTATTCCGGGGGACTTTGTCACTGGAAATTGTTTCAGGTTCACTTGTCTTGGAATGCACTTGGGGTGCCCTTGTGCACCAACACGGTCGCCCTATTGCAACAGGGGTCATGTGCTAGGTACGGAGTTATGCACATATTCTGTTCTACATAAACATGCTACAGTACAATTCACCTGTATGGGCACATATCTACACAAAATATGCACGTATAGTGTGCCCCTCGAAGTGAACCACTTGGAGGAGCCCCCTAGACGCTACAAGCGTCACCTCCCAGTTTGTTCACCGATAGGTGACGGGCAAGGTCATCAACAATGGCAAGCCAAGATTCGACCTCTTCCACTTCGAGCCACCCGGCAAAGGTCAGACTGGCCTTTTTAGCTTTTCGTTGCTTCCTTTCGAGCGGCAACAGGTGACCCGCCTCAGGGGGTCCAAGCCCGTCCCAGCTGGTTTCCTGCTTGAGTTTTGTCACTTACCCCGCATCTCAGCACCATCCACACTGCGCGAAGATGTGGTTCCAGCCTCAAAGGCATCAACAAAAGGGCCTCAATGGAGCACGTGGATGCTTCAGAATTTGACCGCAGGAGATGCAGGGTTCCTCACCCAAGACCAGGCGGTAGAAGGAATTGAGGGATGAGCCAAATGCTATTTTGAATTTGCTGCTTTTGAAGAGCAATGTGGGTGGCGAACTGAGGCCTCCAAATGATTGGATTTCCTTGAAAGTTACCTTAGCTTCGACGCAAATCCGACTGGACTGCAGGCTCAGGGGTCAGGCGAAGCTGGATGCGCCCTCTTCTGGCTCCCTGTCCAGCTGGTCAGACAAAAGGACATTGGAGCCACGTGCTCAAAACTCAGGGATTGATGAAGGTTAGAAAGGGATAATCCCAACTATAAACAGCTGCGGATATCCGCCTTCTTCATTCTTTACATGATCCTGGTTAGACCATTTAAATACCGGATTTGAATTATGACTCATTGGGCTTAGTTTGCGCCAGCCAGCACATTGTCTTAAACGTCCCCTGAAAGAAGCCGAAGGAAAACGGGACAGGTGGTTGATTTGTCCAGTCCCCGTAGTTGCTACCCAAGCAAGTGGCACATCCCAAAAACCAGCAAGCCAGTATGCCTTCAGTGTCACTCAGCAAAATTCTGGCCTGGTTCAGTGGCACCGGTGTCCCTTTGTTTGCTTGGCTCCACTATGGTCAACCCCCGCAACTCTCTCGATTTACAAAGAAGCTCCCAGCTATGTGACGCGCTGCGTGCGTTGGACCTTGTGTCTGGGGATTGGATTCCCGTGGTTTGTTCTTCGGCGGGCCTTCTGAGTACGCGGCCCCGTGCCCGAGGTGGTCCATTTGCTCCTGGAAGGTCCGAGCAGTGGCTCGGAAGCTGGTTGAAGAAAGCTCTGGGGTTTAATGACAATAATATAGAGACAGGAAGCACTATATCAGACTATCAGACTATCAGACTGATGTCGGCGACGAGATCTGTAGGCAAGGCTTTACTTCCTTACATGCTGTCGTGCTTGCGTTTGAATTTCTCAGAGTTGCTATCTCTCTATCTTTATCGCATTGTTTGTGACGCTTGCTCCCTCTCTCTCTCTCTAGCTCTCTCTCCCTCTCGCTTTGGCATCTTTTGTTGTGTGTGTATTGATGAGATGAGATTATTGTATGTTGAGTGCATGTGGGTATAGCCTTTTCGTCGCTGCGTTGACCCTCTGATGTCTGTGGGTTCCATATATGTTTCCCCTCCTCAGCGAGTCTCCAAGAAGACCTTCCCGGGGTCTAAAGAGGCCATGCCTTTTGTTGTTCAAATTACACTTTGAGAAGCCCAACGCCCCATTGTGTTTTTGGGAGGGGCTTCCACCGGGTTGGGATACGGTAAGGCCTTCAAACACTGTGCAACAGTTTTGGTAGAACCAAACGTCAACGAGTTGCGAGCCCGTTCCTATTGCAAGTGCGATGCCCCTTGTTGAGCCACACCTTTTGTTTTAAAGCGAAACCAACCATCAATCCACCGTTTAATTATGGGATACCAATTTTTTGATCAACATTCTAGACCGCGTTAGAGGAAGCCCTTTGACCCATGGGTCAAAAGCCCATATTCCACTGAACATCCCAATCCCCACTAAAATAGGTTCTAAAATGGGTGGTGCACCTACCCCAAAATGGTACCGTTGGTTTTGACCCACAGCCGTACGAGACCTGCGCCGGATTGGATCCGAGGTACTCTCGGCCAAGGGTGTCCCGTGGCGATCTTGGACGTTGGACCCGGCCAAGCGGCACCACTACCACCCGGCGTACGCTCCTCGACGGCTTTGGCCTGGTCGCGGAAAGATGCGTGGACCTGCTTCTTTTAAGCCTCGGACCACTGGGCCACTGAATCCTAAGGTAACATGGAGGTGAAAGATGTGGTTGAAATTGAGAGTATATCATTAAACAAGTGCAGCATCAAGTTCAACCCTTTTCGTCAGGTTTCAGTTGGGTAGATTTGCTTGACCAATTCCAATTGTTCAACGGCGGCGTTTTGGCTTGATTTCCAAGTTGCGTGGTTGGCCCATTTACTTACAATGAACAAGAAGTAGAAAACTAGGGCAAGGTTTTATGTTTGTCAAAAGCTGTCCTAACCTTTGACTGGTACAACCACTGGTAGTCAAGTGTTACAAAGGGAGGGAAAGAGGGGACCCACCCTTTTTTCACATGCCCTCTTGGAAAGCAAGACAGTTTGTGCGCTCTTGACAGATGCGACGTTGCCCGTGGTCTTCTGCGCAGGTGCGTCTTCGTGCGCTGGGCCATTTTGAAGGAGCCTTGGTGGGTGAGGCCGGGTGGCCCTTCTGCCTGTGGCCATTGGAGGTTTGTTTTTTTTCCCCAAACAGTTTACTGTGAGGGGTTCTAAATTCATTTAAGGTGGCTCGCCTGTTGCCAAGCCCTAGCCTGGATGCCTGGCACAGCTCTCTGGGTGGACGGGTTCATTTGTCTCCCTGTGTCTCCCTTCATTTGTCTCCCGTTGTCTCCCCGCCTGGATGCCTGGCACGGCTCTCTGGGTGGACGCGTTCGTTTGTCTCCCTGGGTTCACTTGTCTCCCTTTGTCTCCCTTCATTTGTCTCCCGTTGTCTCCCAGCCTGGATGATCCAGTCTGGGTGGACGGGTTCATTTGTCTCCCTTTGTCATTTGTCTCCCGTTGTCTCCCAGCCTGGATGCCTGGCACGGCTCTCTGGGTGGACGGGTTCATTTGTCTCCCTTTGTCTCCCTTCATTTGTCTCCCAGCCTGGATGCCTGGCGCGGCTCGGGTTCATTTGTCTCCCTTTGTCTCCCTTCATTTGTCTCCCGTTGTCTCCCAGCCTGGATGCCTGGGTGGACAGATTCACTTGTCTCCCTTTGTCTCCCTTCATTTGTCGCCCGTTGTCTCCCAGCCTGGATCTGGCACGGCTCTCTGGGTGGACGGGTTCATGTGTCTCCCTTTGTCCCCTTCATTTGTCTCCCGTTCTCTCCCAGCCTGGATGCCTGGCACGGCTCTCTGGGTGGACGGGTTCATTTGTCTCCCTTTGTCTCCCTTGATTTCTCCCGTTGTCTCCCAGCCTGGATGCCTGGCACGGCTCTCTGGGTGGACGGGTTCATTTGTCTCCCTTTGTCTCCCTTCATTTGTCTCCCGTTGTCTCCCAGCCTGGATGCCTGGCGCGGCTCTCTGGGTGGACGGGTTCATTTGTCTACCTTTGTCTCCCAGAATGCAGGATGTCTGGCACCCCTTTGTTTCCCTTCATTTGTCTCCCGTTGTCTCCCAGCCTGGATGCCTGGCACTGTTTTTCCCCAAACAGTTTACTGTGAGGGGTTCTAAATTCATTTAAGGTGGCTCGCCTGTTGCCAAGCCCTAGCCTGGATGCCTGGCACAGCTCTCTGGGTGGACGGGTTCATTTGTCTCCCTGTGTCTCCCTTCATTTGTCTCCCGTTGTCTCCCCGCCTGGATGCCTGGCACGGCTCTCTGGGTGGACGCGTTCGTTTGTCTCCCTGGGTTCACTTGTCTCCCTTTGTCTCCCTTCATTTGTCTCCCGTTGTCTCCCAGCCTGGATGATCCAGTCTGGGTGGACGGGTTCATTTGTCTCCCTTTGTCATTTGTCTCCCGTTGTCTCCCAGCCTGGATGCCTGGCACGGCTCTCTGGGTGGACGGGTTCATTTGTCTCCCTTTGTCTCCCTTCATTTGTCTCCCAGCCTGGATGCCTGGCGCGGCTCGGGTTCATTTGTCTCCCTTTGTCTCCCTTCATTTGTCTCCCGTTGTCTCCCAGCCTGGATGCCTGGGTGGACAGATTCACTTGTCTCCCTTTGTCTCCCTTCATTTGTCGCCCGTTGTCTCCCAGCCTGGATCTGGCACGGCTCTCTGGGTGGACGGGTTCATGTGTCTCCCTTTGTCCCCTTCATTTGTCTCCCGTTCTCTCCCAGCCTGGATGCCTGGCACGGCTCTCTGGGTGGACGGGTTCATTTGTCTCCCTTTGTCTCCCTTGATTTCTCCCGTTGTCTCCCAGCCTGGATGCCTGGCACGGCTCTCTGGGTGGACGGGTTCATTTGTCTCCCTTTGTCTCCCTTCATTTGTCTCCCGTTGTCTCCCAGCCTGGATGCCTGGCGCGGCTCTCTGGGTGGACGGGTTCATTTGTCTACCTTTGTCTCCCAGGATGTCTGGCACCCCTTTGTTTCCCTTCATTTGTCTCCCGTTGTCTCCCAGCCTGGATGCCTGGCACTGTTTTTTTGGTGGACAGATTCACTTTTCTCCTTTTGTCTCCCTTCATTTGGCTCCTGTTGTCTCCCAGCCTGGATGTCTGTCACGGCTCTCCAGGCGGACGGATTCACTTGTCTCCCTTGGTTCCCCTTCATTTGTCTCCCATCTCTGTGGGTGGACGGATTCATTTGTTTCCCTTTGTCTCCCTTTATTTGTCTCCCGTTGTCTCCCAGCCTGGATGCCTGGCACGGCTCTCTGGGTGGACGGATTCATTTGTCTCCCGTTGTCTCCCAGCCTGGATGTGTGGCACTCACGCTCCGCGGTTTCCTTCACTTCCCGCGGTTCTGTCCTTTTGGCGGGGTCTGGTTTGCCTTCGGCTTTGGCCCTGGCTTCGGTCATTCCTTGTCTTGTGGATGTTGGGGACAGGGTCCTCCTCTGTCTGCCCTTCATCTGGACTTCGATTTCGCTTGGGCTCGTGGTGGGTCGTCTTCCTTGTCTATCGTTGGCTACACCCTGTCTGTTCGTTCAGTGCCTCGTTATCAGTTGCGGTCCCGAGCTGACGATAGCGGTGCGCTGCGGTGCGCGGCTTCAGCTACGAGAAGGCTCTGTTAACCCCCCGGTGAAACAAACGTGAATCACGCTGGAGTTAAATCCTCTATCGATTCTTCGAGGATGTTCAACGAACCTTACGCTGAGATACCCAGTGGTGCTCTTGGCACCTGGGGTTGTCCCGGCTCTCCCGGCGGACGGGTTCATTTGTCTCCCTCTCCCTCCATTTGCCTGACGGATTCATTTGTCTCCCTTTGTCTCCCTTTATTTGGCCCCGGTTGTCTCCCAGCCTGGACGCCTGTCACGGCTCTCTGGGGTGGAGGGGTTCATTTGTCTCCCTTTGTCTCCCTTCATTTGTCTCCCGTTGTCTCCCAGCCTGGATGCCTGGCACGGCTCTCTGGGTGGACGGGTTCATTTGTCTCCCTTTGTCTCCCTTCATTTGGCTCCCCTTGTCTCCCAGCCTGGATGTCTGGGTGGACGGGGTCTCCCTTTGTCTCCCTTCATTTGTCTGGCACGGCTCTCTGGGCTTTGTTTCCCTTCATTTGTCTCCCGTTGTCTCCCAGCCTGGATGTCTGGCACGGCTCTCCAGGCGGACAGATTCACTTGTCTCCCTTTGTCTCCCTTCATTTGTCTCCCGTTGTCTCCCAGCCTGGATGCCTGGCACGGCTCTTTGGGTGGACAGTTTCACTTGTCTCCCTTTGTCTCCCTTCATTTGGCTCCCCTTGTCTCCCAGCCTGGATGTCTGTCACGGCTCTCCAGGCGGACGGATTCACTTGTCTCCCTTGGTTCCCCTTCATTTGTCTCCCATCTCGTGGTGGACGGATTGATTTGTCTCCCTTTGTCTCCCTTTATTTGTCTCCCGTTGTCTCCCAGCCTGGATGCCTCTCTGGGTGGACGGATTCATTTGTCTCCCTTTGTCTCCCTTTGTTTGTCTCCCGTTGTCTCCCAGCCTGGATGCCCCTCTGGGTGGACGGATTCATTTGTCTCCCGTTGTCTCCCAGCCTGGATGTGTGGCACTCACGCTCCGCGGTTTCCTTCACTTCCCGCGGTTCTGTCCTTTTGGCGGGGTCTGGTTTGCCTTCGGCTTCGGCCCTGGCTTCGGTCATTCCTTGTCTTGTGGATGTTGGGGACAGGGTCCTCTGTCTGCCCTTCATCTGGACTTCGATTTTGCTTGGGCTCGTGGTGGGTCGTCTTCCTTGTCTATCGTTGGCTACACCCTGTCTGTTCGTTCAGTGCCTCGTTATCAGTTGCGGCCTCTCTCTGTCCTTGCTCGCATTTGGAGTCCCGAGCTGACGAGAGCGGTGCGCTGCGGTGCACGGCTTCAGCTACGAGAAGGCTCTGTTAACCCCCCGGTGAAACAAACGTGAATCACGCTGGAGTTAAATCGTCTATCGATTCTTTGATGATGTTCAACGAACCTACGCCGAGATACCCAGTGGTGCTCTTGGCACCTGGGGTTGTCCCGGCTCTCCCGGCGGACGGGTTCCTCTCCCTTCATTTGCCTGACAGATTCATTTGTCTCCCTTTGTCTCCCTTTATTTGGCCCCGGTTGTCTCCCAGCCTGGATGCCTGTCACGGCTCTCTGGGTGGACGGATTCGTTTGTCTCCCAGCTTGGATGTCTGGCACGGCTCTCCGGGCGGACGGGTTCATTTGTCTCCCTTTGTCTCCTTCTTGTTGTCCCTCAGCCTGGATGCCTGGCACGGCTCCCTGGTCATTCGCGGTGTATTCCGCGGGCACGCATGTGTGTTTGAGGCTCAGAAACGTGTGTTTGAGCGCGCGCGTGCGCTTGATCAAGCCACAGGCAGCATGCTGCGGATGCACGTACGAGTGCTTCAAGTAAATGATTGTGTGTTCTTGGTGTGTTCCAGCTGACCACATCGGCGCGTTCCAAGTGAACACGCACTTTTTGCATGTGACCACATGAGTGTGTTCCACGTCAGCACATGTTTGTGTTCCAGGTGAAAGCATGCGATTGTTCTGATAAAACACATATGCGATCCGGTCAAAATTCCTAGTAAGGGGGTTTAGTCTACAGAGGCCACCGTCGCAGTCACTTTGTGCAGTTTTAAATGGAGGGCCATTTTTTTTAGGAATTTTTTCGTTTTTTTAGGAATTATTTTTGTTTTTCAGGGTCGGTGGCTTTTCGGCTTTTTGGCTTTTGTGGCTTTTACGTGGGTTTTTGTGGCTTTCGTGGCTTTTCATTTCGCATCATCTGCATTCACAGTTCCTCTCTTTTCGCATCCTCTGCATTGCCAGTTCCGCTGCGGCAGGTGGCTTTTTGGCTTTTGGCTTTTTGGCTTTTTGGCTTTTTGGCTTTTGGCGGCTTTCTGGCTTTGGCTTTTCGCATCCTGATGCTTTTCCAGTTGGCTTCCTGCATCCTCAGCATCGCAAGTTCCTCTCTGGGCCCCCCGCCACCCCCCTTTCGATTAAAATGCACGCCTATTTGAATCATCACTTTTTCGATCATCATGCGACAGCTACTTTTTAGATTCTTTGCCCCTAATTTTTCGATCATCATGGGGGGGGCTGCCGCCCCCCCCAACCCCCCCCGCTATTTTTTAG